CACAAAAAATTAAAGAATTAACCGTATAAAATGAAAAAATTTAATTTAAATAGAAAAATTTTTCATGTAAAAACACTTGGCGCTGCTAGATAGAGTAACAAAAACTACAAGAACAATTTAAAATTGGAATGGTAATGAATAAAAATAAATAATAAAAGATAATTGTATATAATTTAAAAGTAATAATAAAAGTAATAACAAATTTTCTTTCATAATGCATGTCTTACAAATATAAATTTATTTTTCTTTGATTTAAACTTAATAGCATTCACAACGATCATCATTTACCCAACTCTATAACTCAATCGTATATACACATGCTAAATATTTTAATTCTCATTGGGGATGGTTTTTATTTTTCTTATTTTTCGAAATATTCATATTTTTTAATATGATTCTGACTTTTTTTATTAATAAGCTTTTTATTTATATTATTTTTCTAACTATTATATTTTTATCCTTATTTACATTCATGCATGCTTTACTACTATACTACCATGTTATTATTATACATCGAGATCTGGCAGCGCCAAGTGTTTTTACATGAAAAATTTTTCTATTTAAATTAAATTTTTTCATTTTATACGGTTAATTCTTTAATTTTTTGTGGTAACACTTAAATTGACCAAGGTAACGCAATTTTGTGATAACGTTTTGTATAATGTTTTGAAGGAGAGTTAAATAACCACTACTTTAGTTGGAAGAGGAAATGTCTTTGAATGAATTGTGATATAATTTCATTTAAGAGGAATTTAAACCATTTGGATTGGAATAGGAAGATTCTTCAATAAATATACGTATACTTAGGTTTTATTGCATAAAAATTAAAGTAATAAATAAAGGGCGTTAACCTTTGTTTTGGACTCTACCTTCTTCGTATTTAATGAACAATATTACCAGCAAAAATTTGGTGCTCCCATGGGGTCACCCCTGTCTCCAATTATTGCTGATATAGTGATGCGGGATTTGGAGACGGAGGCCTTGGATATCTTGGGAGTTCCACTTCCATTTTATTTTAGATATGTGGACGATATTTTGACGGCAGTTCCAATAGATTCAATTGATTATGTCTTGACAGTGTTTAACTCGTTCCATGAGAGGTTACAGTTCACATTAGAAAATGGAGGTAACAAGATCAATTTTTTAGATTTGACATTAATAAAAAATAAAGATAGATTAGAGATGGACTGGTATCACAAACCTACTTTTTCGGGACGATATCATAACTTTTTGTCTGCACACCCATTATCACAAAAAAGAGGTGTGGTCTTTGGAATGACTGATAGAGCTATGTTGTTATCTGATGAAAAATTTCATAAAAAGAACATCACATTTGTTATTAATACATTACTAAGGAATGATTACCCAATAGAGTTTATTTTTGACAATATTTCCATTAGAATAAAATTTTTGTTATCAAGACGTGTTCAATTTGAACAAAATTCTAGTTTGAATAACAACATTGATGATGATGTTGAAAGAACTTCTTGGTTTTTGATTCCTTATACAAATAATACAGCGAATGAATTTATAAGAATTTGTAAGAAAGAAAATGTTAAAACAGCGTTTTATAGTAATAATAAACTAAATAGATTTATTAAAGTCCAGAAGGATACTCTCCCCAGGAATCAAAACAAAAATGTAGTATATAAAATTAAATGTAGAGATTGTGATGCAACGTATGTAGGACAGACTGGGAGGAAACTGAATACCAGAATTAACGAACATCGTAACTCCATTAACTGGAAAACAAATACTCAGTCTGTCATTACTAATCACAGATTAGAGGTGAATCATGAATTTGATTGGGAGAATATCCAAATTTTGGATAAGGAAAGAAATCTAAGCAAAAGGTTAATTTCTGAAAAAGCGCACATTTTTATGCAAAAAAATGGTTTAAATTTAAGATCTGATTGATACCGATGGGTTACATCATATTTATACGACAATGCTAAATGAATTGACCAATTAAATTGAATATATGTAATTTAAAGTAGTTTTCACGTCTTGCTTCGCACAATTCATGACCTCTTCTTATGAATATTAGTATTGATGTTTCTTGATGTTTTGTTTAGTTCTTGATGTATAAAGGTTTACATTTTGAAATATTAATCGTTTAGCAACTTTTGAAGGATAAATACAAACTTATTAGATTTTTGCGAGATATTAGCGTTGATTATTGGATTAATAATAATAAAATGATTCCAAAGCTCATGAAATAAACCTGAGTTTTCTCGTTGAGGTGAGTTACTCTATTTTGTACATCGATTAATTCTGTGAATTAATTTTTTGTAATTATAATCAGGATCCACTCTAGCTTGGTACCTATAAGTGACTCACGTCAACAGTTGACTCATTTGATCAAATTATTGTATTGCTGAGGATGACTTGAAACAGAGTCGAAACGTTCAAATAAAGAAGATTCGATATTTACGATTAAGTGGAACTTTATTTAATCGTTGGCACCTACATCAGCTGAGGACTCAAATTGCCCTTGTATGTTTACGTATATTTTTATTGCATAAAAATTAAAGATAGTACCATTTGGATTAAGTAAATAATAAAGATAGTATCACTTGAGTTTTACTTTTTATTTTGATAGTAGAATTTAACTTGGCGCCACAATTGTTGGTATCAAATCGTTCGTACAAATAATACATACTATTAGATTAATATTCATTATTTATTTAATTTGGCATGGTATAAAGAAGTGGGATTTAACTCGGTGCCAGTTCTTGATATCATGTCTTTTATAGGAATGATACATATCATTAAAGTTAATATTATTTATTTAATTTGGTATTCGAATTACATGGAATTTAACTTGGCGCCAATTGTTGATATCAAATCTTTTTTACGAATAATACATAAAATTTTGATAAAATTTTGATTAATTTAGCTTGGCGCCAATTTTGTTGATATCGAATCTTTTATACGAATGATATATACATATCATTAGTTCTACTAAACAGCAAACGTGATTAGTCATCAGTTTCACGGCCAATTAAGTAATTGGTGAAACTGGCCCAAATGGTGATTCTTTACGAGAAGCAGACACGCTTTTTAAATTACATGGACAATAATAAGGAAGTCTCTTAATTATGTTCGTAGTTTGTTATTTTACGAATAATAAAAAAGTTTGTAATTGTGTTCGCACTGTATATATATATATATTATCTTGTATATAATATCTTGTATAATAATAAAATAAAAAGGTCTCTGTGATTATGTTAACACTTTGTGTTGACCAAATATTAATAACAAAAAGGAAGTCTGTAACAGTGATCGCAAAACACGAATTAAAGCCTGCGCCTTTTTTTTTTAAATGAAACAATCGACCGACCTCCAGTCGAAATATGAAATCTCCAGCGCACAGACCTTTGGAGTTTGGGTCCCAGCCGTACAGTGCCATATGGTGCCATACAGTGGTTGGGACTAGCAACCATGCGCTCATCCCATTTTATAGATATAGACGAAAAGTGTGAGAGAGATGCAAGTAAGGGGGATTAATGATGGGTGCAACCAGATGCGACGGAGTCGAGGGCGCCAAGCAAGGCGCGTCGTAGTGTCGTACTTGTGCGCGGTCGTGCGCGACAGTCGGGAAGATGCGACAGAAAGCGCTCCATCGTTCCGTGTGATGAGTTAAAGGGACGACGAGGCGTCCGTCTATACGTCCGTTTGGGAGCGTCGCGACGATTATGCAGTCTCCTTTGCGTTGCCGTAAGATCAGATGAAGGAGCTTGACTTTTGTTCCTCGACATCTCAATTCGACGATCGGAATGGTTTCCCTGACGCGGGTTTCTTTCGTTGCGCTTCTCTATGGTAAGCGGCTGTCGACTACGCCGGAACGCTTTCCTCCTAAGCGCATAACGAAGAAGAAACAATACATTATACGGTCTGGACTCAGTGTTTTCCGTATCGTAATTTCATGTACTGGCTGATCGATATAACGGATGATTCGCTTGATGTTCATTTGATTCGATTATCATGAATCTTCTGTACGCCAAATAATTGGATTGTATCAGTGTATAGAGAATTTAAAAGACATCCGCACATCTTCGGATTTTTAAGCATGCAATATGTTTCGCGCGATCTTATCTACAGTAAATTGACGAACTATACTTATATGTATTTCTACTTTTATCGTATATGTATGTACGACGTAATCCAATAAGTTCTTCATGATGTCTTAACAAACAAATTCAATTTGATTCTGTCGATATGATCTTTGTGCAATTGCACGTGCAAAAGAAAATATTTTTTTCCAGCTCTTTTTGTTGTTTAATTATTACAATTTAGTTTTTTCAGCGATTCTGACGCATACAGCAGGGTCGCGTGTACTTGAGCTGAGTGATAGGTAAGAGACATTGGGTGCTTTCCATTTGATGACACAAGTCGACACAAGCGTCGACTTCTATCCTTGTTGACATTCAGAGAGTGATAAAGATAGAACGACACTTGTGTCGACTTGTCATCAAAAGTTGAGCAAAAGAAAAGCACCCATTACTACTTTATTCCAACTAAGTCCATGCATGATTACTTAATACATTTCTTGCAGATTTCTAGAGGCACACAAAGATGGGCAATGGTTAATTATGGTACGTTTAATGCTCTTTAACGTCCTTAAGTTTAGAAAGTACTATTTAAAAAATCTTTAGTGTTTGCTTATCAATTTAATTTGATATTACATACTCCAGCTTGAGTCTAGAACTGTGTCTCGAGATCAATAAATAATCGGTGTGCAGTTTATTCGAACTAGAAATTGTAAACAATTCATATAAATATGTGCTTAAGCATCAAGACCTGCTTTATCCGAATATGGCTCTCCTCATTCATTTGTATCACATCTATTTTTGTTTCTTACAGATGTATGCACCATGGTGTGCGCATTGCAGAAGATTGGAACCGATCTGGTCTCATGTTGCTCAACACTTGCACGCATCGTCCATACGAGTGGGAAAAGTGGATTGCACTAGATTTACCAGTGTAACAAATACGTTCAAAATTAAAGGATTTCCTACTATTTTATTGTAAGTATATAGATTCTTCTTCGACTAATTGCATTACAACGCTCGCATATATTAATGTTTTCGTCTTACAGTTTAAAGGGCGATCAGAAATATGTATATGAAGGTGACAGAACTAGAGAGGAAATAGTGAAATTCGCTTTAAGATTAAGCGGTCCTCCCGTGCAGGAAATAACAAAAACACAGAGTTTCGACATCATAAAGAAGGAACGCGATCTCTATTTCTTATATGTAGGAAACAGAGCTGGAATTTTATGGGTAATTTGTTTTCACAATTTCGTAACATAGACCACGTTTACACGGCACCCTTAATAGGATTTAATAACATCTGTAGTTGTGAAACTGACCAATCATAGTCATTCCTCTGAAGAATGGAATTACTGTGATTGGTTAGTTTCTAATTACGAATGTTATTAAACTCGATTAAGAATGACCATGTAAACATAGTCATATTATAAAGGTAGTTTGAAATTCAAATTCATGTGTCTTTAATGTTTAATGAATGTAGGAACTTTATCACAAGATTGCGAATGTATTTCAAGCGCATGCATTTTTCTATCAATCTCATCTGAGCGTTGTGAATAAACATGTGCCTGTAAATAATGTTCCGGCATTATTTGTGTACAAGGAAAATTCGCATTATAATTTCACCGGTAAGTCGATCGAAAGAAAAAGGAATGATCATTATTATTTACTGTATCAGTGTTTAATTCAATCTGTAGGACACAATTTGAGCGACACGAGACAAGTGAATGAAACACTTTATAAGTGGGTGAATGCAGAACGTTTTCCAACGTTTCCAAAAGTAACAAGAGGAAATATAAATCAATTATTCTTAACAAATAAGAATCTCGTTTTAGCGGTTGTAGAGGAAAATCAATTGGAAGAGCTCGCGCCTGATATGCTGAAATTCAAAAACATGATTGAATCTGTGATCAAGAATAAACGAAATAAGTATCATGAGTACGTTTGTCACATTTATCAGACAACTTTTTGATAAAAGTAAGAAATAAAAATAAATTATCGTTGTGTTCAGTCATTTTCAGTTTGGTTGGATAGGTAGTCCCAATCTAGTCAATAGCATAGCAATGATGACACTACCTATACCGAGCTTACTTGTGATAAATACAACTACTAATCATCATCATATTCCTGAGGATGAAACAGGAAAACTAACTCCATACGTAATAGAACTGTTCCTAGAGCAGATTCGCAACGAGAGTGCTCCGGTATAACATTAATGTGTATTTCATATTTGCTATTTATTCGATCTGTTAAAAAAATACGCGTTTATAAGTATTTATGCATTTTTATCAGCGATATGGTGGCAACAGTTGGCTAGTACGTAGTTATAGAAAATGGTTCGAAATGAAAACTGTTCTGACTTCAATGTGGAAGGGCAATCCTATCTTGATGATGGTCCTGCTTGGATTACCGTTTGGATTTCTGTCATTAATATGTTACGGCATTTGTTGTCCAGATTTATTGGACGCGAAAGACGATGAAGATGGTAAAATTCTTTTTATTTCTCAGGAAATCAATTTTTACATAAAAATAATATATATAGTCGTTTTATGTTTTTTTCAGAGAATATTGGGATGCATCACATGAAGAATGATTAAAAATAATTACTATTTAATAGATATATTATAACAGAATTCCAAGACACATTTTTCATTATGTATAGTGTATATAAACGCTTATGATTGTAATATGTTTTTGACAAAAATTTGCCAAAGCAGTTTTAAGATTGCGAGAATTTTTATACAATAATTCATATATTTTCGACATTCCATGTTACAATTTATTTTTGATCCATTTCATACATATAGTACTAATTTCTTTTATGTGCTGTATACATATATATGTATATGTATATATATATATGGGGCATTCTTTCTCAAATCAGCCACCCGCCTGCGTATTTTATTTTTAAAGATAAAATTTTTTTCGAAGCGTCAAAATTTCCGCCTAAACCTCAATTTTTTGATACCGTATGGTGTTTTTTATTTCCTTATGGGTGTGGCCATACGTTAAAAATAATGCTCAGACTTACCAAAATACTTGAAAAATGCAAAAATAACGTTTAGAGAGCTTTTTTTTAATGATTTAATTAGGATAAAAGATACTCGCGACCTAGATATGTCTTTTAAAAGTTCATGACATCAGCTAAGATCACGTACACCCTCGACTT